GGACTTCAAAGTCACAATGATTCCCCGGCACCGAGCAGAAAAAGAGAGTAGGTGAGAATCAACCGCCTTGGGCGGGAGGGCAGGGAGGCTTGAGACGGAACCACGACACATCCGCTCGCTCACACTTCAGTCTTCTCGTGTACACACTAACAGACTACCGTGTCCGCTCACACTTGCGGTCACCTTTTCTCGAAGTACACTCGCAAGTCGATGCAGCTGAAGCCGTCGCACACACTTTCAGCTCGGGCATTGGCGCGAGGAGGACTTCAAAGTCACAATGATTCCCCAAAGCCTTGCCGAAAGCGGAAGTTCACAACAGCGGTGGGAGGGAGGGCGCCGAAGAGGTATGCCATGGAGCCGTGAGTGCATAAGCCACTGACGTGCACATTTGAGGAGGCAACCGTTCGGCTTGAAGTGTGAGGGGTAGCCCGTGCCGGTGCCCACAAAGACGAGTATGCCTGCGATGAGTCCGCACACACAGCCCAGTGCTTGCTTGACACAGGTGGTGTAGCCGATGAAGGTCCTCATCGGCGACGCCGTAAGCCAAGAACCGAGTCCTGCGGCGCCACGGCGCGCCGAACCGGCACTGGTCTGCAAGCACGATACGAGCGCCCGGCTGACTGGAGAGAGAACGTAGAGCTGGAAGTGCCCAGACCTCAGAGACGAGAGGATTCTCGAAAAGAAAAGGCACTTTGAACTGCATGAGTTTCCGCATGATGTGGACACACGCGAGGCTGACGAGCTTGTTTTGGTCACAGCCTTCCGGGTGTTGGCATACGCTTGCGGGGTAGCGGATGCACGGCGGAGACATCATGCAGCTTAAGACTCGTCCTTTCCTGATTTCCGAAATGATCTTGCTGAGGACATTGGGGTTGGTAATATCATGAGCCTCCCCGTGTCTGATGTCCCAAAATTTGGACTGGAAACCATATCGACGCACAGAGCGGCTGACACCACCGTGGCCTGAGCATATGTCCATGACATAACGTCTGCTCAAGTCGCGGTTTCGGTAAAACGGGGGACCGACGTTCGGCCCAAAAGAATTGCCCCAAGGTCGCGCTCGCACAGGAGGGCGTGGGTGCGAAATCGCGGCGGCAGGATTTCCCATGTTTTGGCTAACCGCCCTGCCTTTTCGTACCTGGTGACAGACTTGTGCGCCTTCCAGTGGCCTCTCTTCTGAACTTCCAGCAGCGAGCGGAGATTGCGAGACCGGTCTATGGACGGGCCGCTGTGCCTGGTTTGATAAGGCGTGATTGTGAAGCCGAATGTTGCGGAGATCTCCTTGAACGCCTGGTTGTACTGAGGATAAGTAAAGTCCCATAACCTCTGCGTGGGGTGGGACCGCTTCAGCCAAGCAAAGAGTTCTTCGGCCCATCCGGCCAGCCACGGCGAGTCCATCAGCACTGAAGTGTCGAAATCGCCGGTTTTCGCTGGAACTTCCTCCTCTTCTGGGCTCAAGAGAAGCGACCATACCTTCGTCACTCCATTTGCGGGCCGGACTAAGGAAAACGTCTTCGCCCTCAGGAGTTCGGAGGGCCGAGCGTAGCTGCTCAGGGCTACGAGGCAGAAAAGTGCCATTCTCAGAAGATTCTTTCTCTTCAGCTCCACTGCCACCGCGGCCCATACGGCCAACGGGAAAGCCATTCGGCTGCGTCCCGGAGTGAGTTTTCGGAATCCCTTCAGTGCCCTCCATGACCGAGGTATCTTCTTGTCGCCCATCCGCCCGTAAGCGGGGTAGTGATGCAAAATGGCCGCCATGAGACGATCTGCTCTGTAGCTCTGGTGTCCCTCCTGGTACAAGTGGTTGAAGTAGTCCAGGAGGTGGGCATCGAGGTTGTCCGCCTGTTCCATCGAAAGGCCGCGGGGTTCCGCAAACTGTTTGAAATCCAGGAGTTCCCTCGCGTACTGCTTGGAGGTGGTTGCTGCCACTGCGCTGCTCTCCAAAAGTGTGAGTTGATTCCCTCCCAGAATGTGGTTTACCAACGCGCGTCCCCTCCGACGGATTCGTCGGCGGAGTGCCCGAGCTTGTGCCTTCTTCCGAGGGGCACTCCTTGTCGAGCTGGTGCTGGATTGCGAAGTCTCCTCCCTCAAAGCTCCGCTGAAACCTTGATGACTGGTGCGGACATCTAGTAGGTTGGAGGGTTCGGCGGCGATCGGGGTCTGCAGGTGTTGAGCGTGCCCGGTTCGCGCTAATTTCTGAGATGACCTGCTGGTGCTGATCTCTTCGGCCGGCCTCTTCAGGAAACGGTGCTTGGGGATCGGCTTCAACGGTTCCACTTCCGGTCGTCTCAGCACGGGCGTGCGTCTTGGCCCAGCGGACAGCTGGGATGACATGAGCTAGACTCTTGGAGGCATCGCTGCTATGGACCCGGCTAGGTTCGTCAGCACTGTTCAACTCCGATGGCACCCACCGCACCGACACAGAAAGATTACGGCTCAAGCAATAAGCAGAGAATCTCCTGATTTGCTTTAGCAGTGCATAGTTCCTTGCCCTAGATCGATCGAAGGCCAAACAAACGCTCATGTTGTCGGTCAGAAAGAGCACACGAGCATCATGTCCGAATACACTCACAGCTGTTCGCCTCAGTGCTTTCACTAAGGCTCGTGCCTCCAACTCCAGAATGTTCGCCTCAAAATCCCATTTACCCCAAAGACTAGGACTCCAAAGATCAGCACGAAGAAGATGACCGGGAACCTCGTCAAACTCGCGATTGAGGTCCCAGCCGCTCTTAGCCAAGTAGTCGCAGCTGTCCAACCATCCTGCGCGCCATTGTTGGGTGAGTGCATCCCGCTCAAAACCTGCGGCAGTGAGCGCGGCCTCACGGGCTGAGTGGACACCCAACCTCTTGAAGCGGCCCCGTTCAGGCCTTCGCCCCACCCTGGCAACATCTCCAGGATCCCAATAAGAGGTCACTACACCGTACCCTTCCAAGGACGAATCAGAGGCACTCACGTAGGGACTCCACGGTCGCCCCCAATCCGCGTGGAGAAACACCATGAGCCCACGAAAAACCTCTAGCTCCCGTCGGGCCGTTTCCCACAAAATGCTGGGCTTCTCATAGTTGGCATTGATGAAACGATACACCGTGTTGAAAACGCTGAGAACGGGACGATTCATGAGCGCGACGAAGGTTGCGTGCCCAATCAAAACCTCCAAGACTCGACCGGACACTCGTTTTCGGCGCAAAATCCCGGTGATGGCCTGACGGAGCCGATGATACCTTTCCGGTGTGACCCTGCTCGCTAACAGATCGCCTCTCAGATCACAACCAAGCGCACGGGTGTTTGCATTCGAGACCTCGCCTGGATGCAAGATCAGGTGGTTGGAGCTGAACACTTCGTCGACCTGTTTGAGGCTTGTCTCAACGGTGTCATGGTCGAGGCTCAAAATCCCCAGGTTGTCAACATATACATAATGATGTACCCTCTTACTGCCATCCGGTGCCCAACTAGGTTCTTGACCCCTGGATTCCGCGTAGGTGGCCTCCTCCTCGTTGGGGTGGTTCGCCTCTCCGAAAACAATGGCATAGGACCTGTCATGCACCAGGGTTGAGTCGCGTAAACCGGGCACCAAACTCATCAGATGTTCATTGGCCCGCTGAGCGAAATACAAAGACCATGTGAACCCCATTACCAAGGACCCCGCACACGGATAAATCAAACTGTTCGGCTCGAGGAGTATGCCGTCCAAGTAGGTGCCTTGGAGGCGTAGCCAAGACGCGGGTACGGGGTCGAGTGCAAAGTATGGCACCATCCACTCCGGTTGTCGCAATCGATGGAAGCAGTCTTTGACATCGCTGAGGCCGATGCTCATGCGGTGTTTCTCCAGGTAGCGGTCGTATGCTGAGGTTCCTGGCTGCAAATGGTTTGGGATCTCGAGCTCAATGCGTGAGAACCCGTCGGATGTCAGCAAGTCGACCCCGGGCGGGGCACGGAACATACGGTTCGTGCCCCTTGCATCTAGAATGAGCCTGATCTTTTGCCCGTCGGATTTTTTGACAAAGAACACACCACACATACTCTTAGGCCGCTGGGTGTACTGCAAGTATCCAGCCTTGTCGAGCATACGGATGAATTTCTTGTACATTCTCGCGTCTCTCCTCAGAAGTGGATCCCAGTAGGGTTGAAAATCATCTGGGACGTACTCTGGATTCAGCATTTGCTCCGGACACTGCAGGTACCGACGCGCCTCCTCATCAACGATGTCCACCACGGCGGGCGCGCCATGCAAGGACTCAGGGAGGGAAATGCGCTCGATGGAGCAGGTGGCCAGTGTAGTAGGCGGCTCCGAGCCGTACTCGGAGCGACCACGGAGCAGCTCCTTGAGGGCTACCTCCGGTTCCGGAACCCGTGACAAGCTCCCAACGTCTTGACACAGTTTCGAGAGATAATTGACTCTCTCCAACACTTCGCGCTGCAGAGGGTCAGGATCAAAATCTGAATTCTCGGGGCACCTCGCCCCCCACATCCAGTTGAGGGCCATCACGGCCTCTCGACTTCGCATGCAGTTGTGAGCCTTCCTGGCCACTCGCTGCGCAGATCTCCTGCTCAACACTTTAACCTTTGGCACCGTCCTCGGTAGAGGAAGGGGAAAGATATCGCGAGAGTAAGGAGACCAGTGCGGGCGTCCAGTGCCGGATTGCAATCCGAAAGGGGAGACTCCCGGCTCAATCTCCCCATCCATCTGATTACTGGCCATCTGGGGCGTTGAGCCCCCGGCCGCGCCTCCTAGCACCGGCCTTGGCCTTCGCCCCGACATCTGGTAACACCGCATCAGCGACTGCGGCGGCGGACTCCTCGACCGCCGCCAGGCCCTTGCGCTGATCTCGCGCTTTGGCGCGGGCCTGGGCAAGGTCGGATTCCTCTTTGCTCTTCCGTGCCGCCCAGGATCGCAAAGCAGGCGCAATAGCATCATCGGGTCCTCGGTATGATGTGATCACTCGCGCCGAGGTCCAATCCGGCACACCGCCGCTTCCCGACGCATAGGCGTCGACGACTGCTTGGATTCGTCGGGCTATTATCTCGATCGATGCCAGGGAGGAGAGGTTGAGTTGGTCGTAAACCCCTGCTGTGTAGACGGTTTCGATGAGGCATCTCATTTCGTGAGCCACGCGGTCGTGTTCGTGGATGCCCTTGGCCCGAAACCATTCGACTAACCAGCGCTTGGGATCTCCTCCGAAATTCAAGAAATGCCTTACCAAGTGGCCCGCCGACATCGGACCTTCCAAAGGCCAATCCTGATAGTGGTACTGTTTCACTTCGTTCGAAACACACCGCCATGACTTGAATCGTTCACCGACGGCGTTGTAGTCGACCGTCAAAACCCTGGCATCCAAAGGCTCACCACCCTCGTCGATCTCCTCCGCGACCGTCGGTCTACCGGATCCCGAGTGACCTGCCTCCGGAATCGCCTCTGCTTCGAAAAGGGCCTGGAGCTCATCAAGCCTCACCAAGATGAGTGACACCCATCCCCCCGAGGTCCGGTACAACCCATGCCTGTCGCCCGCTTGAACCCCGAGCCCCTCTTCCACTAGAATCTCTACGGGAGGTCCTTCACCGCTTGTTCGGGGCTCGGGAAGACGTATCCAAGCACTTCCAGCTGTAGCGGGGCGCAAGGGCCGAAGCTCTCCCAAGTTCTTCACTCCCAAGAGCGCTGTGGGGCCCTGGAAGCCCTGACCGGAATGGCCATCCGCTACGGGGGATACCGGAGAGCGGTGGACTGGTCCCTTACCAATCAAGCGACGTCGGGAAGTCACCTCCACAAAGTCTTCAAAGCGCAATCGTTGACCGTCTCGAAGGAGGACTTCGGATGGAGTAGGCCGGCGCGATCCTGGGTAAGCGGCCTGATGAAGCCGCAATGCTTCCCGGATCTTATCTCTCATCCAATCTTCCCCCCACTCTTCACGAAACCGATAAACTCCACGTCTGAGGTTCGCGAGGGTTCGGACTCCCGGAGGCACTTCCCGGACCCGTTCGGCTCCATCGCTTGCACCCCCACGAAGGTCTTCTTCATAGACATCCTCGTCCGGGGTGGTCACCCAATAGTGACCAGCTGTCTCACCAGGAAGGAGAATGTATCGCTCATGCCACACATCGTCATCTGTGTACCAAGTAACAACCTTAGTGCCCGGGAGGTAATTCCAGGACACCTCCGCCGCGCCGCCTGACATGATGCGAAGGGTTGGAGGGAGGCGGCCGAGATCGGGAAACTCGACCGAACCAGAACACCAAGCTGTGCGATATGGTCAATCCAGCAGCAGTGCCAACGGTTCGGCCCCACCCTGGAGCTTCTATGGTAGAGGACGCGGTCGAGTTCGACTGGGGCAACAAGAGCTCGTCGATTTTGGATGCCAGGCTCTCACAGCACAGAGGGGGAGGAGGAGCCTTTAAGGAAAGGTCGATCAGCCTGGCACCCAAGATAATCAAGCTCGCTACCAGTCGCATCCTTTAGGCTTGAGACGGAACCACGACACATCCGCTCGCTCACACTTCAGTCTTCTCGTGTACACACTAACAAGGCGAGTGGGCACGCCACTGCCCCTCCCTTCAACCTTCCGCCCTTTGCTACGCATGTCGTCACACAAGGTAGGAAATTTGAGCTCAGATCTGACGCTTTAGCCTTGGAGCTCTATGGATGGCGATAACATGGGTGCCTTAATAATTAGAACAGAGTTTTGGGGTGTATTATACTACACTTATCATAAGGAACCCCACAATAGTATTGGTGATTCTTTCGGCCCCTGTTTTGATTATGCGTGGAATGCCAAGAGCCGGACCCCTGATCCTTAGCTTGCAGCGGTTAGTGTAATTAGGACCCCCAGGAGTTCAACCGACCCTAAAACCTGTGCCCCAAACCTCAAACCCCTAACCTCAAGCCACGCTCATTTCAAATTTCGAGGTCTGTAGTAGTACTTAGAGTAGTGTCTCGTGCTGTTTCATAGCGTACAACTATAATGAACGAACCCTAATAGGGAAAACTTGGAATTATTCCAGTTTCCATACTCGAGTTCAGTCGCGGCACTGATGTAGTTCTCAAGGCGGCTGTCACGGAGGCCACTGCCGATAATGCTCCTCGAGGGAGAGCTGCAAAGATCCTGCCTCAATGGGTCCAGGGTTTATAGGGTTTAGGGTTAGGGTTTATATCTTACAGGATTTAGGGTTTAGGGCTTCATGATATATGATTACGCTTTTTTGTCGGGCTTTATGGGAGTGTTACGGCTTGAGGCTTCTATGCCTCATGGGGCTTTTGTAGAAGTCTGAGGGTTTCAGGCATTTTCAGAGGCTGAGGGGTTGGGAAATAGAAAATGGAGCTGAGACGTGGAGGTGTTGCTTAGACGTCTAAAACACACTTCCCCCCAAAAAAAAGGGCTTGGGGCTTATAGTTTGTAGGCTTATGGCGACTGCTTAGCACCTAAACCTTCAACTCAGAGCTCGAAACAAACGTTTCAACTCTAGGTCATGCTGTGATGCCAAAGCCTCGAACATCTAAACAGGCTTGTGACAAGCGGCTTGTGGGGCAAAGGAGCGTATACTTGTGTTCAGGAATTGTGAGGACAGGGATCACCATTCCTTGTTCATTATTCAGGCCACCGGACTCTCCATCCTTTCTTAAAAGGACCTTTCAACCTGACAGTCTTTGCTGAGGATCCGATCGAGGCTCTTACGGCTTCAGGCGTTGCTCCAGAGCATGGGCTGCCGAGGTGCAACAAAAGCAGTGCCGGGCGCTGCCGCCTCTTCAGAGTGGCTGCAGCTGCCTTCGATGTGAGGTGGGAGGGTCCATAGGGCCGCATGTAACAGGGTGCAGAAACCATACTGGCCCACCGGTTCTTGCAACTCATCCTACGGCCATGTGTTTCGACAAGGAGCCTACGCGTGTGGTGTCCACGTTCGAGGTGCGGCCTCTGTGCTCTGAGGGGTGCTACGACAAGCGCCTGCCCAACTTCAGCTCTTCCGAATTCCCAAACAGACTAAAGTGACAAAAGGGTGCAGGGTATACGCAACTGCGCCGAGGGCATCATGCGTCTTGAGACAGACGCAAAGAAAACGCACCACTCCGGAGCATGGCAATTATCAACCCTGGGCGGCATCGTCGCCGAAGCCAGGAGCCCAAACCCGCCCTAGCTGTTGATGGACAAAGGGACAAAGTCCCACACTGCCCTTATGAGGATCCTTAAGGGACGGGCCTTCAAGGGCGGGTATAGGACCCAAGAAGCCCTTAAATTCCCCCCTTATAGTGCTTTCTAAGGTTCCCCCAAAGGCACTCCTGTGGTCCTTACACTACAATGGCTTAGCTTCTGGGCTCTGCTGTATCCCTCGCAGCATGTCGCCTCGGAAAGGCTGTGACCAAGAAGAGCTGCAGCCGCGGCGACCTTGGCAGGCCAAGAGCTCGAGGGTTTAGGGTTTAGGGCTTTAGGGCGTAGCTGTGGGAGTTTGGGGCGATGTGCATGTCGAATGCAGTGTATTAAGGGCTATTCTGAGGGCTTAGGCTCCAGATTCCGGGGCTTCAAAGGGCCCCGTTTTGGTACCCTTAGGCAGGGGTGTATGGCCCCATAAGAGTAGTTTAGGGTCTAGTAGATAGGCGAGATGCCGAATCTAGGTACGTTTGCTGTTTTCGGTTGGCTGGCCCGGTGTTTATAGCATATGTTGTATGATTTCAACAGCTGCTCCGTTCTGTCGTTACGGTTCGCACCCCTACGGCCCCCAAGCAGGATGCCTCTCCCTGCCCTGAGCACCGCTGGACGCTGGTAAGCCGAGAAACCTACATATGCTAGAACCCTGAACCCTGAAGCCTAAACCCTATAATTTCTACCCCCTACACCGAAAATCCCATACTGCAATCCCTCTGAGCCCTGAATGGGCCGAAACCCTGTACACCCTAAACCCTGCAGCCTTGCACCCTAAACCCTGAAAGCCCAATAGAACCATCAAGCAAAACTCGAAACGTTGCCATGGCCTTGCTCCGGTCCTCGCTTTGCAGAGCCTGAAGCGATCACCAGCGCTGTAGGGTGGACGGTGTTGTAAGGGTTTGGGCTTCCCCTGCTACGCCACGCTGCGGGTTTACGTTTTTAGGGATGTTTAGGGTTTATATAGGGGTTGGGGGTTAGCAATTTTGGAGGTCCAAGGTGCCTGCGTTCAGGGTTCACAGGCTCCAGGATGTAGGTATTCGGTTTAGGGCTTGACTTGAGCTCGAGTCTGGGTTGCAGGTCTCGGCCGCCGGAGAGTGCGGTTCAGGACTCAGGGTACGGAATGTTGGGGCCCCATGCCCTGAATCCCCGCAGGCATTGCAGAAACCCTCAAACCCATCAAACTCATATCCCAGAACTCATAGACCCCAAATATCCAAAATCCATGAATCCCGTGCTCCTAAACGTAACAGAGCCGATATGAACTCCCGCAGCTACAGCCGAAATACAGCTCTACCAAAGGTACCCTTTCGGGGTCCTAAGAGGCGGCGAAAAGACCAAAGCCTCCAAAAACCCAAATCCTCGCCGCTGCTTTTGCTAATTCTGATTCTGTAGCCCTATGTAGGCCTATCAACCTGTTGAAGCCTCAAGCTTGAGCTTAGCCTTTCTATCAAGCATCCCCGGAGACCGCAAAAAACCCCAAAACCCCGACCCTTCAACCTGAAACCCCTCAGCCTCGCAGCTCTGCGTCAGGGCTGTCAGTGCCGGCTGCAGTGGCGACCAAGGCCTCGGCTGCGGGGGTTGACCCAAGAACCCTCTCCGCGTGAGCTCATCGAAACTCCTGCGCGCGGCCTCTTTTTGACAACTGGCCACTGCACTTTCTCGTCATCGGGACATCGGGCTGCAGGGCATTTCCCCCGGCAGATGCGTCTTGAAGACGTCACCGACCTGGGAGGCACGGCGCCGATGGCCCAAGAGGGACGGCAATGACGGCGGTGCCGGCAGAGGCGCAGAGGGAGGAAGCATCTCCTGGGTTGTAGCCGGACAAAGAGTCCGGT